AAAGCTAGGGACAAAGTAAAGCATTCCTCAATTGAATTTACATAGAAGTAGTGCTAACTAGATGTCACTTTGAACCTAAGTTACCTTTTGCTCAACATGTCTACAATAATAACTAGCTTTCCCAGTATTATCTTAGGAGCATTGCCATGCACCAGCCAGCTCTTCAGATCTGATGCTAAGAGACTGGTGCATGCCCTTCTCTCATCTAGAATTGATCACTGTGGTGCTTTGTGCAGTGGCATATCTAAATATATATACTCAGAGGTCCAGCCTACTTGCAATTGGCAGCTAGTGTTTTGATCCTTGCTTAAAAATTTAGTTTTCTTAAATGTAACTTTTAAAACTAGAAAATATCTCAACATAATATTGATGTTTGGTATTTAGTGAACAGTAATGGTTTGTATTGTCTGGCTCTAGATTTTAGTTCAAATCTGGCTGATGTATTAAATAAATAAATAAATAAATATATACACGCACACATACATATACACACACATACATATACACACACACCGGTAATCATAATTTATCCTTGACTCACCTCTTTGAGTTTAGTGTTGCATACAATACCATTTAGAATATAAAAATCACCCACTTTTGGATGATCACCTACTGCTGGGACAATGTGGGAGGATTCCAACCACATTACAGAATGAGTGTTGCAAAACTTCATTTTAATATATAAAGGTCTCTAAAATAAAACATTTCTAATTACCCCTCTAACTTTACAATGAGGAACAAGACTTTTTAGTATATGTACATTTTGAGTTTAAAACACTGTGTGCCAATCTTTTAGCCAGGAGGAAAATGTTATGGAGGAGTAATAAGTGATTAAAAAAAAGATTAAGCTAGAAACACTGAAAGAACATTGCGCTAGCAGGCACCTTAAACTAATATAATCTTACTAGTCCTTATAGGATGCACTTTTTTTTTTTTTTTTACCCAGGCAGTACCTACACATGCATTTTGGACAACAAAGAAATCTTTGATTATGCACTTAAAATGCAGAATGCATCCCCAAAACTAAAGAAGCTAAGTCAGTTTGGGCTGTCAAGTCCAAACTTATTACTTGTTTGTTTGATTTGGCTTACTTATAACCAATGTTTGGCAGCTCTACTATTCGTTTATTATGTGATATTTCATTTTGGTTGTTAGCTCTGTACAGCAGTATGAGGTTATTTTATAAAGCACCTTTCAAAGTTATGTAGTAGTAATGGTGGTGGCTGTTATCACTGGGAAAGAAAAGGAACCAACAGTTGGATGACTGTTTAGTTGGCACACAGAGAACACTAATAAATAGTGTTACGAATAAATTTGAATAATATGGGTTCTTATGTTTATTTGGTACTGCAACCTCTATATTCCTGACTGATCTCATGGTATGCCAGCCTCCCTTTAGCATAAGGGTGGAAACTCTGGAATTCTACACTTAGTAGAGATAGTTACCTCTAATTAGAATTCAAGTCAGTTGCGTATAAAACATTTAATGCAAACATGGATATATTTTAATGTAAATACCTTTGTATACTCAGATCCCAAAAGGTAGAAAATCCCTATTTATTTTGGATTTTACTGATAAGGATGACCCTCTTGCTTTATATATTGTAGAGACCACAGTGTTTTATTTTTTTTTACAAAGAGTTTCTTCTTAGCCCATTAATTAGTATCCATATGTGCCCAGAGATTAACCAGACACATAAATGCTAATCTTTTCCACTGTATTGCTGTATCTCTTAGTTTTGATGTTATGGAAGAGGATGCTCATTGAACAATGTACTTGGAGGATGAAATTGATTTTGTATTTAAACAATTGCCTCATTTTAGAGGACCTGCATCCACTTCCAAACAGTGTTATTTTATTATGGTGCCATATTTACAAAATAAAAACTGGGACACTTTGGTGGCAATATTTTTTTAGGGTTGTGAAACAGTCATACTGAAGACAAAAGTACACTTTTAAATGTGGCCAGATGTTGCTCCTGCCACCTTCTAACTCAACAGGGGGGAGGGATAGCTCAGTGGTTTGCGCATTGGCCTGCTAAACTCAGGGTTGTGAGTTCAATCCTTGAGGGGGCCACTTAGAGATCTGGGGCAAAATCAGTACTTGGTCCTGCTAGTGAAGGCAGGGGGCTGGACTTGATGACCTTTCAAGGTCCCTTCCAGTTTTATGAGATAGGTATATTTATTACTATTAACAGCAAAACATGCATATTTCTTGGAACTGGTGGATATTTTCTCATAAGTTACTGTGCTAAAGGAGTTTATCATGAAACAGTGAATGTGTGTCATTGACATTCACTTTGAGCACAAGACCAGCCTTGCTGTTGCCTACACTCTTGACTTCTCTCTTCACTTCAAACACTTTTCATCACACTGAACACTTCTTCCATTGGTCTGTTTGCTACTGGTAAACCAAGAGCAAATTCTATTCTGTGTAGCAATATATCTTTGGGTGTAAATCAGGCACCCATAAAGCAATTATGGCAGTAAAAGAAAAATACTTCCAATGTTGTGAGTTGAAAAGTGGTAAATACTCCTAAATTATAACTAACAAATGTCAACAGCAAGATATCATATTGCATGTAAGGAAAACACACTGATTTCTTCAGTTACAAAAGGGCCATATGAAAAAAGAAACAGCAGTCACATATTCTGTTCACTGCAATATTGTGCTTAGATTTTCAGTATTAAGATTGGCAGCCCTTGCTTAACTGAACAGTGAAAAAAATGGCTTCAGATGCTTTGGGAAACTTTTAGTTATGGGAACTCTGATCTGTATTTTCTTTATTCCTCAGTTAGATTATACGAATCTATTAGTATCATTTAGTAATGCAGTTATCTAATTTATCTTGGTCATGAGGCAACCCGTGATATTTTTTACTGGAGGATGTGTCAGAGTTTTATGTTATTCATGGATAAAGCAAGCTGACAAGAGGTATAGTTGAAGGGAAAGGGAATTAAAAGTATGAAGACTAAATTTAAGCTGATGTATTCTGAAGTCTAACTAATCAATTACTATAATTTTTTGTGCTTCTGTAACACCTAGGAGCCTTAGTCATGGACCAGGTTCCCATTCTGCTAGATGCTGTACAAAGATAGAATAACTCTATAGAACAGGTATGAAATAATTTGTAGAATTTCATGTCAAAGATATGGCACTCTCCGTAGCATGCCCTTGTTTTTGGAATTCGCTCCCACTGGAAATATGTCTCAAGCATGTCAACTTCTATCACATGCTGTAAGACATGTGTTTATTCAGGTTCTCAATTAGTCCATTAATTGAGTTTCCTCATTTATGCTTCTTTCAGGGGAGTGGCTGAGAGTCAGGAAATATGCCACCAGTTAGTGGAGGGAAACGACTTAGCAAGCACTCAGGGCTGGTCTATACTTAAACTGTAAATCGACTTTTAAGCTACACTACTTCAGTTACGTAACTGAAGTTGATGTAACTTAGACTGACTTACAGTGGTGTCTACACCACGCTATGTCGACGGGAGACGCTCTCCCGCCAACTTACCTTCTGCCTTTCGGGGAGGTGGAGTACAAACCTCGATTGGCAGAGCACTCTACCATCGACTTAGCTTGTCTTCACCAGACTCACTAAATCAATACCACTGCATCAATCGCAGCAGTGCAGATTTAGCCGGAAATATAGACAAGCCCTCAGAACTCAATCTTTCACTGAATTTGATTAACAGAGGACCAAAACTATAACAACACAAGCATTGCAAATGAGGACTAAGACGCACTGACAATTATGTGGCAAAGCTTCCACAACTCCGGTCTGTGTTATGCCAGAATTTTCCCAGTACGTCAGATTCCTCTTCTTCATGAATACTTAATCTTCCCACTGACTACCCCCCACTCCAGGAAGGACTGAAATAACAATCAGGGTAGCAAAGGACCAAAAAAAAAAAGTCTGTTAGTTACATGTCTAATGGGTACTCTTTTTATTTGGGTACATACATTGCAAGTCAGTCTCTCTCAGATTACTCATTACATCTTTCTTTCATACTTTATTATTTTTAATCCCTTTACAAAACATAATGGACCTAAATGTGAACCCTTTACTCACACTGTGAGCAGTTACTGACACAAGCAGTCCCACCAAAATCAGTGAGTATACTCACGTGAATAACTTCTAAGCAATGTAAGGGGCTGACACTTTGGTCAACTCAAAGATACAAACTGACCCAGAAATTTAGTTAATTTAGGTTTACCACTACATTCAGAAGCCACTTTAAGATCTATGCCTCAAATCATCAAAAAAAAAGCAATGTTCTCAATTTCCAGGAAGAGCTCATTTCATGTAATAATTTCACACTTTAAAGAAGCAAGCTAAGCATCAACATTAGCTTTGGAAAAGCTAAATGAAGAGTGCTACACACATAACGATGTTGAAGGAGGCAATGGGGACTGAAGAGGGGACATGCAGCAACCAACAATGAACGAACTTTAAGACAACAATGAAAGAATGTAGGAAAATCTTTCACCTCTAGGTTATATCTATATATTTACCTCTCAACCTATTTTACCCATCTTAACATTCTTACTTTAATTTGTATCTGTTATTTATTTTCTTAGGAAACAACCTCAAGTAGATTAAAAATAATCTTTTCCCCATCATTTATAATGGATCTTAGCTATCACATATCCTGCTATATCAGATAAATCAAGGAGTAGTCTTTATCTGTGCCATAGCTGGTAAAAATGGAGCCAATGGGCACTTTGAATGTAAAAACACTATGACTAGCTGTATTCAAACAATGGCTTAAAATAAATTTATTGTGGTATGTAGTATTAACAAATGTTAAAATCTAAAAATAGAAGCCACATAGCCTCCCAATTTTACCATGTAGAAAGCATGCTGAAGAATTCAAAATGAGGTCAGGTGAGAGTCCTGAACAAAATATGGTAATACAGTATTCCGTACATGAAGAAGTATTTTAGACATGACAAATTTAAGTTACAAATCTTTTGGTTAAGTGTTGATGTCCTACCTGAAGGTCTTTCACATTTGGAAATGGAATACCAATAGTTATAACAGCACGGGCATTGTCATCAGAGAAATCCAAGCCTTCACTAACTTTACCTCTGCATACTGCTATGAGAAGTGCTCCATCTTGAACAAAGCAAAGAAGAATTAGCAATCATTTTGGGAATAAATCATCAGTTACCAAAAAGTAGTTTTACGGTATCCTTTGACAAGACTAAAGTTAATACAGCATAATGCAGTGTGTACCAGTTTAAAAAGGTGAGCTGAAATAAAAGTACATGATTTTTTACAGAAGCATTATGGTAGCTAATATAATTTACACAAATGATATTGATGTGCTGAATTAGCAATTTTCATATTATGCTTGCAAGAGGCACTATATAATATAGAAGTGCATCATAGGGAAAAAACTGTACCTACCTATAGCAATAGTGCTTTCAATTTATCATTTGAATAATGGTATTCTCTTGTTCTCTTACTTACTATTATGCTGTATTGACTGAACTGATATTTAGGGTATTTTTTAATAAAATGTATAAGGTTAAGTTTGTAAAACAGTGCACTGTAAATATGTTTCTATGCTTTGCAAAATGGTGGCTTTGCTCAGAAATTAACAGGGTAAATATTACATTCACTGTACACATCTGGAGTCTATACTGGACAGGTATCAGAGGGGTAGCCTTGTTAGTCTGGATCTGTAAAAGCAGCAAAGAGTCCTGTGGCACCTTATAGACTAACAGACGTATTGGAGCATGAGCTTTCGTGGGTGAATACCCACTTCGTCGGATGCATCCGACGAAGT